ATTAAAGTTGTGATGCCTAGCTACTGCTACCAAATGAGAACATAGAAAGTGGTACTGCCTTGGTTTACCACAAGTGCACGTAAAATCTTGGAGGATTACCACATGCATCCTCCACTCTCGGACCTCGCTATCGGATGTTGTACCGTCCCTATGCTCAACCTGATAAGTCCCTATGGCATGGTCAAAACATGTAACCTCATGTATGCCAGCCCTTTCATTTGCCTTCTCTAGGTGTGCCTTTGGTTTTAGAGCCTATATCTCTCCATCACTCCGCAACTTCAATGCATGGGCGTGTCTATCGTTGAACCAGGCAACAAGCTTGTAGAAGGTGAATTGAATGATTGCATTCACAGGCATACCACGTATCCCCAATAGCAACTTATTAAATGACTTTGCCATGTTGTTGCACTGAAACTCGTACCTCAATCCACCGGCATCATGAGCTCTTGTCCATTTCTCCAAATCCCTCATCAAACATGTGAGCCATTGTCTACCTTCTGCATTTGATGTGGTTCTGACCTGCTCCAACTTTTTCTGAAAGTACTTGTCCTCAAGCTGTCGAGCAGCCTCCTGAAACATATCAATGTTATCCTTCACACCATCCTTCCAGAATAGATTCTCGGCAAGGTGCCGAGTACACCAACGATGGTGCAAAGGTGCATATCACTCTATCTGCTCTCGCACGGCATTAAGGAAGACCTGGTGCCTATCAGATATGATGCTAACCTCCTTGCCAGGCCCAACCATATGTATCCGGACTAGCCTCAAGAACCATCCCCAACTGTCATTGTTCTCCTTCTTAATCAAAGTAAATGCCAAAGGAACCAACTTGTTGTTCACGTCACAGGATATGGCTATAAGAAGTGTGCCCTGATATTTGCCAATCAAGAATGCACCATCAATGGAGAAGACGGGACGACAGTGCCTAAAGGCCTCTACACACTGAGGGAAGCACCAGAAAGCACGGAAGAATATCTGCCTCCCATCCTTTCATACATTTGGTTTTGGGATGTACTCATAATGCATGCCTGGATTCACCGCTTTGATTGCATTAAAAAGTACTAGCAGCTGCTCATATCCTTCCTCCTAGTCCACATATATCATCTTCCACGCTCGCTACTTAGCCCTCCAAGGTTTACCATAAGTTATCACATAACCTCATACAACGCCTCAACGGTCCTGATAATTGTCCTAACCTTCATGTTGGGTTCTCCCTGCAATATTCCCATCAATCGCTTGGCAATGAGGGTAGATGTCAACTACCAATGCTTCAGTGTCAGCACATGGTCAGCACAATTGTGTGGCCCGATAACTTTTGTGATCTTCCACTTTTTGGTGACCTTTTGCTTCCTTGTACAAACCCTCCATGGGCAGCGTTCCTTGTCACACACAACTATGTAGCGGCGCTCCGTATATGAATGCAAGACCTTGTAAGGTCTCTTTCGTATCACTACAAACGCCTACAACCACCTCTTCATTGCAGGGAGGTCCTTGAATACCCTACCCTTCTCAATTACCTTGTTAGGGCCGGCCTCAGGAGCTTCTAGGAGCTCATCATCACGTCCTTCTGCACACGCCTGATCAGAATGAGCAAGATCACTAAACTCGTGAACTCTTGGACCACGGTGGCCAGGAAAGATACGCCTCAGCATCTCAACATCACTCTCTGTCACCTCTCCAATAGGACGATCATCATCAGAATCAAGAGCCCTTGTCATCTCATATCGTTCCGAATCATTCATTATTTCAACACTATTGGAGCCATGGAATCCATCTCCACAATGCACTTACGCAGCAACAGAGGGCATCCACATTGTCAGGAATGTCTCCTGCAACATAAGTAAAAAAATGAGGAAAGAATGAGGAAGGGTGTAAGCTCCCAATAACCATGCGGATAAGACACTTACTCGAATGATTCTATGTCAAAGGGATCTCATGAGGAGGATCTGCCACAACATCATAAGTCTGACAAACATCTCCAACTAGCTCATTGGGGGTAGATTGAGCATCAAGAACCGTAGGTGCAACCTCAACATCAATATCAGGTTCCGGGACGGGGGGGTCGAAGTGTGCCTACTAACCCATTGCAACAGTCCCTGCAATATTCCCAATTGGGATCATCTTCCTTAGGATGTTGGGAGGGGAACCTAGGTGAAGTACACCCTCCATTGTGATGCCACCATCATCATCAGCTCCATGGCAATGTAGCTCCTCCCGAGCCCTTGCAACCAACTCACTAAATGATGGCTTCTCATTGAATAACAGAGGCACGCTTTGCATCTCAACAAACTCAACATATCCATAGCGATCTCTTTCCACGATGCCTCTATGATATATGCTAACTAGGTTGTCCATCTAGTAGTTCAAACAAAAATTGAAATACAGTTCTTTTAGTTCAAAGTATCTGCTATATAGTACCTCTCTAATAGATACTAACCAACTACAACCTAAATAACTATGTCACTACCTATCTAACTATATTTATCTAACTATATTTATCTCACTAACTAAATCAACTAACTATCTAATAACTATATCTATGTACCTATGTCACTAGCTCTCTAACTATATTTATCTAACTATATCTATCTCACTAACTAAATCAACTACCTACATCATCAAATTTACTACAAACTACCAAATAATCAAAGTAGCACTATAATTCAAGCTAACTAAGTACCTACATTGCATATTCAAACATTTTACCAGTCTAGGTCAATGCAACGATGCGACGCGGACATGGACACCGGGACCGGAGCAGGACGGGGACCGGAGCAGGACCGGGACGTGGAGGATGGGATCGACGGCGAGGTCACGGCGCGCTGGGAGCAGGAGCCGTGTCGCAGCCGGGTCGCGAAGGAGCGCCTATCTGTGTGCGCTTAACGCGGGTGAGCCGGGAGACGACAGGCGACCGCGGGCAGGAGAGGGGGCATGGGCAAGGGCTTGAGATGGCCGGCGCTCCAGACGCGAGAGGCGGGCGAAGGGCTGGGCTGCTGGGGCAGTGCTGCGCTGGTGGCTGTGGCTACTGTGGCGGTGGCAGTGGGCGCTGTGTGGCAGCCGGCAGCTCGGGAGCGGTAGAGAGAGAGAAAGAGAGAAAGGAAGGGAGGGCCCATACGTAAGACAGGGTTTGGCGCCAATAACCATGGCGCCAAGATCTACAGCGCCTAGCTACCTGCTAAGTCACCGTCACGTCTACGTCAAGCCCAAGACCTAGGCGCCATAATCTATGGCGCCGAGACGTGTAAGCTCGACGCCATCACATACCTCTAGAGACATATTTGTGAAAAATTTTCAAAAAAAAAGCTAAAAACAAAAAATTCAGGGGAGGGGACGGCGATGGGGCTGGGATTGGATGCTCCGCAGTCGAAGCCCCCGTCGGGCCCACACGTCGGTGACGGACTGAATCCTTGTATTTTGTGTCCATGCCCTTCGCAGCAGGTGAGAATTGCGAGAACAACCCCATTCGTCCATTAGTATGACGGTATGATCGTACAAGTTTATCATGTAACACGTACGATCATATATACGGAGTAATGTTCTCCTCCTTCAGCTGCTACCTTCATCTGCCTCATCAGAACTCAGAAGACGTCTAGTTTCAGGTCGTTTCGTGTGATTAACATGTACGCTTGGCATCATTTATGCTGGACCAGATACTTTCGGGGCATGGGCATCCAATTAATTCCCTCACCACTTGCACATAGTACTATTAATCTGCATTTCAGTTGTGGTCTCTTCTAGACCTGTAGTACGTATATAATAAAGTGCTGGTAGAAGTGCACTACGTTGTGCCTACAGCTCTCTCTCTGCACACTCATTTCTGAAGAATAATCATTCCGTCTTTCATATCCTCCAGCTCCAGTTTCTAGCTGGTGACAAGATATCAGTAATGGTAATGTCCATCTGTCGTTCATTCAGCATGAACTATTTTTTTTTCTTGGTGTGCATCTTTAGATATAGCACCGCACCACTTGCGTCCACGGAAAACGAGCACGTACGTACGGCAATTGCTTGGAGCACCTGACATTTCTAAACAACATGCACGTATGCTTTCCGTTTTCTCAGCAACCGAAGGATCAGTGCCGGTCCACTATTTTAAGGGAGCTCTGACCATTCTGTCGCAACGGTTTTCGTTGATTATATATAAAATCTTATAATATATAGACACTAATTTTATTTATAAAATGAAAGTAAATTCAATAACATATTTTTAATTTAATATGTCTGATAATTATTGAGAAATAATGTAGATTAAACAATATATTTATAGATGTATGATAATTATCGAGGAACAGTGTAGATTAAAAAAGTAATATATTCGTTTTCTTCTCTCACCCATTATAAATTTTAGAAGAAAAATATGACTATATGGGTACAAAGTACTAGAAGTCTGGAATACTATACAAATAGTTAATTTGGATTAAAAATAAAAAGAAAAAAAATACCTTGGGTCTAGACAACTGATCGGTGATCGCAATTCGTAAAAAGCCGAGAATCAAGATATCGTCGTCGTGGAGCCCTGCCTAGTCGCTATTCTCATGCGCCGTGTCCGTGTCTCCGGTAGTTTAGCTCTTCGCGGCGGCGCGGCTCGTCAGCTCCGCGTGTGTAAGGCGCATGTCACGAACTCACGATCAGAGTGTGTTGTGTGCAGCGTGACGCCTCGTCTCCTCTCTACCCGAGGGCTGTGGGGAAAGAAAACTAGGAAAGAAATGTCAATGTTCTCTTTTTATGCCGTCTAGCCAGTTCTATATCCCTCTTCTCGTTAGTTTGCTAATGTCTAATAAATCATGGTATCTGGGAGTTTGTATTATGGACTTGAGCCCTCAGCCGTCGCACTCGTGCCCTGTCCAGAGGGCCGGCACTGCGAAGGATGTTCGCGTCGAGCAAGGTCATCAGGGTCGGTACGTGGGGAGGCCGGGGCCGGAGCCCGTGGGACGACGGCCTGCACCGGGGCGTCCGGACTCCGGAGCATCACCGTCACGTACGGCCACTCCCCGGAGTCGATGAGGGTGGAGTACGTCGACCGCAACGGCGGCTCAGTCCACGGCGAGAAGCACGGCGGCGCGACGGAACGCAGCCACTCCGTGAAGGTACTCTGCTAGGGGAACCGTACGCCAGTCTTACTGCATCTACATTCTGCATCGCATAGCAGAACGACGCGTGTGACGCCTTGATTGGTAACTTTTGCATTGGCGCGCAGATCGACGTGGACTTCCCGTACGAGTTCTTGACGGGCGTCAGCGGCTGCTACCGCGCGGCGCACGGCGGGTCTGCGCCGCCGGTGGTGCGGTCGGTGACGTTCGCGACGAGCCGGGGGACGGTGCACGGGCCGTTCGGCGACGCGGACGCAGACGGGGTGCCCTTCGCGTACCCCCGATGGAGGGGGGCCTGGTGGTCGGGTTCACGCGCAGGAGCGGCTGGCACCTCGACGCGCTGGGCCTCTACGTCGCGGCGCTGCGGCCGAGACGCTCCGTGACGTGGTCCAGGAGCGCGGCCTCATGGCGTACCGCTCCTTCGTCTACGGGGATGCCGGGTCGGCGGCGCGCCATCAGGATAGAAGTGAGCAATGACAAATAAGCAATGAAAGAATAGAAGTGGGAAAACACAAGTCTCAAAATAACACAACATGAGATGCTACAAATTCCAAGTAGCCTGCCAAATTGCTCTTTCCAGGAAGTTTGTACGAAACAAGCAAACAATTGACATATTCCCACACTATAATTTTACATTCTTTAAAGGATCACCTAATAATGAACGTATAATAACTGACAAAAAAGTGAGCAAAATGGTGCTAAATATTGGGACCTATTCATCAGACAGGCACTGTGTCATTGCCATTGGGGCAACGTATATATTAGTCCCAAATATATGTGTTGGGGGTACATAATATGTTGGGGAACCCCACTATCATGTTCAGGGCCCAATTATATATACTAGGGGTCACAAAACAACATTTAGAGGGCCATTGTGGCATTTTTATAAAATACAAACCCCACCAGTGGTCCATTTATAGCCCTCAATGACATTTCTATAAATACAGATCCCTCCAGAGGACATAAAGGAAATCTCCTCTCCCACCTCTCCTGTAAAAGGGGAGAGGGGCAGGTGGAGAGGGACATTTTTTGGGCCAACCGCTTCGTTGGCTCTCTCCCATCTTACTCCTTCACTCCCCATTCTCATTTTGTTGGCCTAAACCAACGATGTGATACTTCAAGCTATGAGATAACCAGAACATATTCATACATATTACAGGCTTACAGATCAAATAAAAAAATTATATGCAGATCACTGTATAATCAACCGGAATTGAAAGAGCCAAACCAAGCAACAACTGTACTTGTACCAATCTATTAAGATGTGGAAGCATCCAATAAATAAATAATAAACTGATAAACATATAATAAACCACCAACAAACACACAAGAAACACCATGTAACTTATTGGAAACTGTTAAACTGTCAAACATATGATTTGGAAATCCAACAAACAGATTAGAAACACCATGCAACTTACATGAAACTATGAAACTGAGAATGTATGATTCAGATAATGATAAAACTTGTAAAGTGACAAATAACTTTCTAGACAGATGTAGATAATGCATAGCCACCATCACTGGCATAACCTACCGCAGTAGCTGGAGTCATTTGAGCTTCTGGCCTATCTTCAGAGAGAGCCATGGTGAAACAACTAGATTTTGTTGCAGCCTCACAGGGAGAATCTACCATAGCATGTGGATTTGGTGGAACAACTAGATTTTGTTGTAGCCTCACAGGTAGAATCTACCATAGCAGGTGGATTCTTCCGAGTCGCTTGTCTATATTGTGAGGGAGGCCTAGTGGAAGACCCAGATCATGTTGAAGGAGCCAGAAGCCTTGAAGCAGCTTTTAAAGGCTCTGTTATCAAGTCAAGTGCTACATTCTCCCGCTCAAGGGCTTTTTTCCAACACAAAATAAGGATGAGAAACAGGCACAAATAATCCCTCAAACTCATCAACTAGAGCCTAGCTTGGCTATCTTTTGTAAAGCCTGCGGCCTTCTCAGAAACAGACTTGGGGTCCACACCAAGGGAAGGTACATTAAGAACTCTGATGTCTGTGTTGGTTAATGGTGATGAAGCCATAATAGATCAGGTTCTCTCTTATTGTTGTGACGAGACTATTTGACATGTCATCGAGACTAATGATGAAGCCTTAGCCCCTTTTGTCACAGATGACAGCCGGTCCAGAATATTTTGGGTAACTCTTGGACATATTTCGGTCATGTGCATGCGTAATGTGATACCCAATTGATGCCATGCCATACTGGGAAGGGGGGGCATGCCCATTGGCACGCTAGGCAGCGGAAGCTTTTTCTTGGTTTTTGTTGTCCACCTTCAGGAGGAAACTCGATCTTCATAACAAATTGCCAAAGATTCTGTAACTTGAAACGCAGTGGGAAAAAATTATTCGTGGAAATCATGCGTGCCATTTTGTAGAGCATGAGTTTTTTTTTTCAACTCAAATCAAAAAAGGAAAAAAATGTAGAGGAGGCGGAGGGGACGAGGCGTGTGATTTGAAAGCCGTGGGTAATTGGGACCATGTGGCACACCGAAATATACAGAATGACATGAAGGCCCATGACGTGTGGGCACGTGCATGTTGATTGTAGTTGTAGAGCAGGAAGAGTTTTTCGCAAGGGGCGGTCGGTGGTTTTCGTCGGCACGGGGATGGGGTGAGGCTGCCGTGGCGCCCGTGCGGGCGTGTGGCTGGCGGTGGGGTGCAATGGGCGCTTTTGGTTTGGCCTGTCGCCCTGCCGGTTGCGTGGCGTCCGTTTCATTTGGCGGCACCCGGTCTCTCCTCGTCGTTATCAGGCTGCTGCTTTCTCCATCATCACATCGAGACGAAACAGCCGGCGCTTTTTGACGTCACCTGTCTCTGTTTCGCTTCTCTTTTACATGGACCAGTGAGGCCGAATTTTTTACATTTTAATCTTTTTTTTTGAAAGTTTCTCATAAATATACCCCTGCAGAAAAGATTTCAGAATATGGACCCTCGGCGCCATTGATGCTGGCGCCGAGCTAACACGTCTCGGCGCCAGCGTCCCTGGTGCCGAGCTCCTGGGCTCGAAGCGAACGTGGAAGGTGACATAGCTCGGCGCCATAGATCTTGGCACCGAGCTCGGCGCCAGAGTGACTGGCGCCGAGTCTTTATTACCTATGGCCCCCGCCCCTCTCTTCCTCTCCCTCTCTCGCCTAGCAGTGAGTGGTGAGCGCCGCCGCCATTGCCGCCGCCCGCCGCTTCGCCCACCGAAGGCCAAGCGCTATCATGGACGGCCCGCCATGTGCCACGCCGCCCCGCGCTGCCGCGCCATGGCCGCGCCGCCGCCTTGTCCCTCGCGGTTCCTGCGCGCCCGCGTTGCGCCCTCTCCTCGCCTTGGCCTCGCGCCCGCCTTGCCGCCCTCCACTGTCGGCCTCGGCCACGGCCGCCGTGCCTCCCGCGCCCGTCGAGCCAGACTCGCCACGTGGAGCCCCGGGCATCCCGCGCCCGCCGCGCGCCACCGCTGTTGTCGGCCGCGCCACCACCGACCCCGCCACATGCAGCGGCCGGCCGTGCCACCGCCGGCCCCGATCGTCGGCCTGACCCACACCCATCGTCCGCTGTGACTCCCTCGACGTCCGCGGATCAGTCGTTGGAAAGGTAAAAATTATGAATATGCAATGTACCTACTTAGTTGGTATTTATTATTTACTAGTTAATGTGATGACTTAGGTAGTTGATTTAATTAGTGATCTAGTGAGATATATATGTAGATAGATAGAAACATAGATACATAGGTACATAGATATAGTTAGATAGCTACTTAGATATGTAGTTACATATTTAGTTAACTAAATATGATTTAGCTATTTAATAAGTACACTATATATATGCGTAGTTATTATCTTATTTACTTAGTTTGTAGTTAGAAAGTACTTGTTAGGTACTATCTATCGTCTAATTTGGACTAAAGGACATGTGTTTCGTTACGTGTTTGAACTAGATGGACAACCTAGTGACCATATATCATGGAGGCACCGTTGAAAGCGGTCGCTATGGATATGTTGAGTTTGTTGACATGCAAAGCACGCCTATGCTATTCAATGATAGGCCTTCATTTAGTGAGATGGTTGCAAGGGCTCGGGAGGAGTTGCATTGCCTTAGAGATGATGGCATTGCAGTTGATGGTGTACTGCACCTAGGTTCTCCTCCCAACAACTTCAGGCGAATGATCTCAATTGGTTGTACGAATCAGTGGGAGAACTATGTGAGATCGGCTATGAAGTGCCAACTGCAATGTTTGGATGTGGTTGTGCGTCGGGTGTTAGTTGATCCCATCTCTCATGGGTTTTCCCCAGCAATGGATCAGCAGGCACACGTCGACCCTCCCGTTTCGGAACCTTATATGCATGTGAAGATTGCACCTATGGTTCCCGATGCTCAATCTGCCCCTAATGCGGTAGTTGGAGATGGTTGTCAGACTCATGTTTCCGTGGCAGATCCTCCTCATGAGATCCCTTTGACACAGAATAATCTGAGTAAGTGTCTTAACCGCATGGTTTTTGGGAGCTTACCCCATTCCTTACATCTATTTCTTTCATTCTTTCCAAATTTCTCTACTTATGTTGCAGGAGACATTCCTGAGAATATGGATGTGCCCCCTGTTGCTGCACAAGTGCACTTTGGAGATGGATTCCGTGGCTCCAATAGTGTTGAAATTATGCATGATTCGGGGGTATATGAGATGGCTAGGGCTCTTGATTCTGATGATGATCGCCCTGTTGGAGAGCTGACAGAGAGTGATGTTGAGATGATGAGGCATATCTTTCCCGGCCGCCGTGATCCTAGAGTTCACGAGTTCAGCGATCTTGCTCATTCCGATCAGGCATTTGTAGAAGGACATGATGATGAGCTCCTAGAAGCTACTGAGGCTGGTCCTAATATGGTAATTGAGAATGGGAGGGTGTTCAATGACCTCCCTGCTTTGAAGAGGTGGTTGTAGGCTTTTGCAGTGATACGAAAGAGACCTTACAAGGTATTGCATTCATATGCGGAGCACCGTTACACAGTTGTGTGTGACAAGGAACACTGCCCATAGAGGGCTTGTGCAAGGAAGCAACAAGTCACTGGAAAATGGAAGATCACAAAAGTTGTCGGGCCACACAATTGTGCTGACCATGAACTGACACTAAGGCATCGACAGTTGACATCTACCCTCATTGCCAAGCGGTTGATGGGAATTTTGCAGGGAGAACCCAACATGAAGGTTAGGACAATTATCAGGACCGTTGAGGCGTTGTATGGAGGTTATGTGATAACTTATGGTAAAGCATGAAGGGCTAAGTAGCGAGCGTGGAAGATGATATATGGGGACTAGGAGGATGGGTATGAGCAGCTGCCAGTTCTTTTCAATGCAATCAAAGCGGTGAATCCAGGCATGCATTATGAGTATATCCCAAAACCAAATGCATGGAAGGATGGGAGGCAGATATTCTTCCGTGCTTTCTGGTGCTTCCCTCAGTGTGTCGAGGCCTTTAGACACTGTCGTCCCG